GGGGGGGGGGGGGGGGGGTTGGGTGGACTAGAGAAATTTGATGAGGGATTTAACTTTATTCATATATAAGGAATACTTCATTTTGCTCCATCAACCTTGCAAGTGGAGGGATTTTTTGGATTCAAGGTTTGACGATCAAATATTGTATTTGGTTCTATCATTCTCGGTATATTTTCTTTCCTCAAAAGTTAAATATGCATCTTAATTTTTCTTGGCATAGTCATTTACATATTATTTGGTTGTCCTGTGACAATGTACACGTGTCATGGTATTGATATTTTAAGATCTCATTAGTTATTATAGTTTTGATTCTTATATTGTTTGCACACTTTTGCACAAGCAGCGGGTCTTCACGGAAACAATCGCTCTATTCTTTGGGGGTAGAGGACAGATGTATGTTTACCCCACATTGTATCCTGGGTGCAATATGTTGTGCTCCTTCGGTTTATTCTTATAGCTGCCTGCCCATCTTAAGATGGTTCTTGATTTTTGGAATGCTAGAATACGTTTAAAATTTTCCATTTTGGGACACCCTATTCAACTTTGAAGTGTCCTTATTGGAGCCTATGAGTTTATGCTTCTGAAATCAGCCTATAAGGAGGGTGAAGGTGAGCATTATTGTTATATACTGTTATTTTAGATAATTATGAACTAGAATAGAAGTAGCTGTAAATTAGCTAGATTTACTTTCCTTCCTAGTTTTTAGGATATGTTTCTTTTATAAAGGAAACTAGTTGTGCATTTATATGGTACCTTCTGGAAGAGTTTAATTCAAGAGAGAATAATTGATTTCTCCAAAATTACATGCTATTAAGAGCCAAGTTTACCACCCTAGGAACTCGACAATAACGGGCGATCTACACTCGTCTAGCCCCCTCGCGACACTCTGTACAATTTGTCTCCATGCCTATATTGGAGGGGCGTGTTAGAGTCCCACATCGGCTAGAATTGGATAATTTTTCCTCTATATATGTTGGAACCTCTCTTATCTCCTCAAGGGCTTTTTTGGATGTTAATCTGGGGTTCTACATATTAGGCTTTGGTGATCGAAGTGACATGAAAAAAATCTTTTCTTGTGATTTTTGTGGTAAGCAATGGCATACAAATGCTAAGTGTTCGAAGCTCCATGGAAGGTCGCCTTAGAACAAAAAGAAGGGGACAAAAGAACTACTTGAACCCTAGCTGAGACTTCTCAAGAGCATAACACCCTTCCTGATTTAGATTCACTGACCAACTCCACTAGTTCAACTTATGAACAATTCATAATTCTCTCTCAAGTCATCTTCTTTTTGTGCTTTAGCAAAGCAAGGTAAATCTTACTCATTTATGTGTTCAAGTTCTTTTATATGTTCAAATCAATCGTGTGGTTCATGGGTCGTAGATTCTTGTGCTACAGACCATATGACATATTGCTCTCAATTTTTTCTATAATACGTTTGCCGCCATTGCCGGCAGTAGAACTGTCGAACTCTCAAACAATGCTATTTTCTAATGTCCTTCATGTTCCTAAATTATCGTACAGTTTATTCTCAGTTAGCAAATAACAAACTCACTTGTGGCCTTAACTGTCAAGCTAATTTCTCATCTTCTTTGTGTCGTTTCCAGGGCTTGATCTTGGGGACGATGATTGGCAGTGCTAAGAAATGTGGAGGGTTGTATTACTTTGAAGATGGATTGCATTTAAGCATGATTGCCAAAAATTCTTATTATGAGTTCTATCTATGTCCAATATGGCATCCTTGTTTAGGACATCCTAGTTTCTATTATATGAAACACATGTTTCTCAAGTTAATTATTTTACAAAGACCCCTCTTTTTTCCTAATGTGAAACATGTGTTTTGGTAAAACATCACAAATCCTCTTATCCGCCTCGGTCTTACGTTCCATCTAAAAGCCATTTTCTCCATTTTTGTTATAGCTATTGCAGCTGCTGAAGCCGCCTTGGTGGTGAAATGGTAGACACGCGAGACTCAAAGAGGCGGTGGTTTATCTTGCGGTGGATGTCAGCCGTTCGTCTGTCTTTTCCTTCTCTCTCTTCTCTTAGCAAAGTAGGAACGTTTTTTCAGGAAAAGATGGTTTATTTCGTTTATTGATGATCATACATGGCTAACTTGAAGTTTTTTGATGAAAGAAAAACATAAGTTGCGGACATCTTAAATAGGTTATGAATCGTCAATCCACACGAGGGAATATGAGAACGACGTTAAACCTTGCCCATCAGTGTTCCTCCTATCGTCTACTCTTCAATTGACACGATTCGGATCGAGTTACAAACTCATAATTGACATCTTCCAGGAGAAGTCCCCTCTACTCAGTTCGATTTCATCCTCAGAAGAGGCGAGCCTTAAGACTTCTGCTATTAATCTATATAATATTAAATTAGTGATGACTTAATTATTAATATATATTATCTACTCCTCCATGTCCTCTACTCTGTATTTGGTTTCACCTTGAGCTGTCCAATACTCCAATATATAAGTAATGAATACATATAATATGTTAAGTTGGTGTTTGGTTTCATTTTGAATACTTGTTTAAGTTGATGTTTTGATGTTGAAACTATACTTTTAATGAATACATATAATATATTAAGTTATGTATGCATACATACATAACATATATATATATATGTATATATATATATATATGTATATATATTTCTAATAATCATATAAACCGCTATTTTTGGACCGTTAAATCACCGTTTGTTAAAACTTAGTTTATAGGACACTCCCAATTTCTAAGCGTCTTAATAGACCTCTTTATAAAACTTAGTTTATAGAACCAAAAAAATAAAGCGTTATATCTAAAGGCGTTGTAATAAGTTTATATAACGTTTTTTGACGCCGTAATAGGTTTTTTAGGACACTTTTAATATAAAACGTCCCACTAGCAACTTTATAGGACACTTTTTCAAAAGTGTTCTATAAAATTGCTAATACGACACTTTGTATTAAAATTGTCCTAAAAAACCTGTTAAGATGCCCAAAAGCGTCATATAAGTTTATTACGTCTTTAGATAGGACGCTTTATATTTTGGTTTTATAAATAAAGTCCTATAAAACGGTCTATTGGGACGTTTAGAGATTAAAGATGTCCTATAAACCCGAATTTGTTGTAGTGTAAGTATAATTTTTCTTAATTTTTTACCTACTGCGACGACTTTTCGTCGCTATATGGAACTACAACTGTGCACTACAGCGACGATATCTACAGCGATGACGGTTGTCGCTATTGATCTATAGTGACAAATGTTGAGCTCTAACGACGCAAATGGCTATACATTGGCATGTATTACGTAAAAAGTTAAAGGCTAAATGTAAAAAAAAAACATCTCCAACCAGCAAGGTGCCACTATCCACCATGACATAAAATTTATTAGATGAAAAATCTTCTAATGTAAATACAAACGATTTTTTTGCATAATATTAATTTATATTATCTCCTTTAAATTTATTTGTAAAAGAAATACTTTTTTTTTTAATTTTAAATAAGGGGTTATTTTGAGATAAATGTAATTCTTTTTAAAGAAATTATGTTTTATCTCTGGATTTTAGAAAAATTATAGAAAAAATGGTAAATTGCTTAACTTAACCTCAACCCATAAGACCAGAATCTATTATTTGCAGCCCAATGATGTAGTGATATAAACACAGTCTAGTTATCCCCAAATCCCCTTCAGCAACTGAAAAGAGTGTTTAACATCCATTTCTGTTTTATCTTCAACAGCCACATCAGAAATATGGGCATATGGGCAACAACTTCATCCCTACCAAAGCACCTCAAACTCAAAAGAAATCCGAACCAGATAAGACAGTAACTGTAGGGTCGGTCGCAGTTAAAATATCATATTACAAAGTGATTTACGGTCCCAAAATGATAACAATAAATCACAATGCAAACTGACCCAATACAACAAATGCGGATTAACGAGATCTATATATTGTATATTTTTGTCTTACAAAACATACTGATCCACAAATGTAAAATTAGCAGTTATATCAGGTATACGATCAAATATCAAAACGACATGTAAATCGAGACAACGAGATTTAACGTGGTTCCACTATCGAGGTGATAGTGTACGTCCAAAGGGGGAGAGAGATCGATTTATTACTAACCGGGAGAACTTACAACGTGTTTTACGAGATCCTTGGATCAACGAATCAGCTACCCAAAGTTTCCTCAAAAACAAAGTTATATATATATATATATATATAACAAACTATGACGGGAGGAAAACAAAGGAAGAAAGAAACTTGGTTATGTCTAACTTTCCATCCTACATGTACATATATATATATATATAGAAGAAAAGAAAAAGAATGGGCGGCAACCCATCTCCTCATGCATCAACTTGGATGGATAAGTCATCATCATGTTTGACTAAATGGCAAATAGGTTGTAGGATGGGTGGCAATCCTATGCCATGCAAGTTGGCAACTTAAAATTAATATGTGGTTGATATTAATTTTAATCTCATGCATTAACCACTTGTACTTTGAGTTTGGTGAGTTGTACAACATCCTAAAAACTTACCAAAATTAAGTTTTTCAACATCCACCATGATGTGCAATTCACCCAACAAAACCAAACCGTGAACCAATCCAACGAGCACGAATCAATAGCTGATAGAGATTGACACGAGGTGAAAGAATGCATTTTGACCGTGACGAGCTTCGGCTCGGCCGTCACCTGTCAAAGCCAAAAGCAAAAAATCTGCAAGTGTGCAATCTCAATAAAACGAAACGAGCTAAGCAACCCAAAACACGTACCAAGTAATAACTCCACAAAGATGTCGCTATGTCATCTGTAGTAATATTCTCATCTCTCCCACAAAGTGCCGAACGGCATTAACACAATCTAAGCTGGATCAAATTCGAGCAATACTCGAATTTTGTTGGTGGTAACGATTTTGTGAACATGTCGGCAGCATTATCGTCAGTGATAATTTT